TTTTTTTTTCGAAATTCGACCAATCGAATGTGCAAACAATCAAATTATTCAAACTCTCGTTCAAACAAAGTACTCGATCTTAATCATATTCGCTGATTTTGCAGGCATTTGAAGATTGGATGTTTTCTAAATCAGTTCTAGAACTAGAAATCAAATATTCCAGTATCGATATTTTAAAATATTCGACTATCCGAATAATTGAAGGAATGCGCTCTCAAATAACTTGAATTATTTGAAATGGACTCGGTCTCAACTATGATGAAGACCACATACGCACTAGCTTTGGCATACTTACTTGGCTGTATTCGAACGCACTCGCGAAAATCATGTTCGTGTGATTGCCTCCACGTTAACAAATGTTATATTTCCAAGGATTTGCTTGTCATATACTCTATTCTAATTTTTCGCTTTCTTCGGAAATATTCTCTTGACGTCGATCCACCTCAGAACAATGCCCGTGATTTAAAAAAACTAGAAAATCTACTGATGGTTCTCTTTTGAGTGCAGAGTAGAATTATGTAAATCTTTTTTTAATGGATAGTACGTGGAATGGATGTAATGACATGGAACTATGGAGAACTAAACCAAATATATCAGAGGAGAGGTAATTATTTCTTTATACATATAATGTTCATACTCATACATACATATACATGGTTGATTGAATATACTTGTGATAAAATGGAGTAAGGCATACGTTGTAAGTTCAAAGATTTGCCCGTAATCTTAAAGGAAGCGTTGCGTTAGTATTTCTTACCCTCATGTTCAAGCTATTCCTAAGCTTATCTTGACTACATGTCGAAGTAAAGGGTAACTAATAATGACTTGTTCCCTATCTCAGCGTAACTCTTACATTTAAAGTGATTGTTCTACTCTATACACGCTCAGCTAGTTGAGACTCAGTAAGCTTGCGATATGTACATTATAGAATATCTCGGGCAAGACTACAACACTGAGCTAAAAGTCGTCAATACACGAGATATAAGGCCGGCAGATCTTCATCCAACGTGGCTCAGCGTTTGCCGGACAGCGCTCCGAACGAGATCACCAGTAAAGTTTTCATCCAGTTTGAAATATGTCTGTACTCGCAGATATCTTTCGTGGAACGTTAATCTAAAGGGAGAATAAATGTTAGTTTGATAATGAGGTAATGCGTACTAAAATTGTGGTGACTTTAAAAGTTTTGAAGCACCCTTGAAACAGTGATAGTGAAGAGTCAGCCTATGGAGAGCTTATAGCGAAAGTGAATCAACTTTGAGTGAATTTCCATGACGAAAAATGAATTTATTTTAAACTTCTTATATCGCTGCTACCGTCTGTTTGCAAACCACTTGTTACAACGTCAGTTTGAATTCAAAAATTACTGTACAAAACAATCTGTGTATAGTGATATGTGCTTACGTTGTAATAGATGCCACTGTACTGTTATGACCTGAGTCTCTGGAAATGTGACAGTAAGAGGCTCTATAGCTTTCAGTTATAGATCCCCCCTCCCCCAACCCTTTTAAACAATGAACTACTGTCAGGCAGTAGGTTAGAAGAGCAGTTACGCTTATCCGTAAACTACGATTCAAGAAACAGAAACCATGCAAAATCAAAAATGGTGCAGTTTTCACGCGAGTATTACGCAAAATAGTGCATTGACCATAATTGTGGCAAGCCTCGAACGTACACCTTATGTACTTATCAATTTGTGAAAAAACGTTGCTGTGTAGGTATTCTACCCACCGAGGGCTCTTCAACTGCACTCCCAACATCGAAGGCATAGTAATTCCTAGCTGCAGTATCTCCGTTAGTAATTTCTCCAAGAACTCCGCTCCGAATAGACCAAGATCACCAAATGATGCTTGGTCAACGTCACTAATCTGTAAATCATGCAACATGGACAAAAGCTAAGATATTTCATTCCTATTTGTTTTATTTTGTTTCAATCGTAAAGTTCTAGTAAGTTTTTCATAAAAGTCACAGATAGTTACCTTTGTTTCCAATAACTTAAAGTCCAAATTCTCAATAGTGGCATTACCAACAATCCTGCTGCCGTTGATCCACATAATCACGTTCGCTGTCATAGTTGTGTCTGATCGAATAATCTAAAATATTTTTGTGAGTCGTTTTTTGAAAGCAATTTTCTCTAACTCCAGTTTAACAGCGCACCATTTCTTTTGTTTGATTTCGATTACTGGGCCTTACAAACATGTTCATCCTTCCATGCAACCGGAATCGCGCACGATTCTCCACGAAAACAATTAGCGGAGCCTAAAACAAAGGTGCGCGATGTATTTTCTCACGCAAAAAGCAGAATGGGCTAATACTCTGTATTGAAATAAAGTTTGATCACAAACTTTTCTTGCAGTGAATACTACTTCAACTTGTCGGTTTGGATACTGGTCTCCAAGTGCACCAAGGAATTCGCCAATGCAGAAGCCACTTCCGCAAGAAGTATGAAGCAAATCCTAAAATTTCAATTTTAAAAGCATTTGTTGCATGATAGGGTATCAGCTCCAAACCTTTAGCTGAGGACTGCTTTCTGGACCAACAACTACATCCATCAAATGCTGCTTATAAGCATGGTAAAGCATGGAATTAGCCAGGTAGTCGGTTGCCAGGAATTCCACCATATGCACTCCTTAATGACGAAAAAGTCAACTTGATTATGAAACAAAATCAGCGGTTGATTTCGGCCTATACTAAGTAGATAGGATGACTGTACACAGATTCTTATTATTTATACATTCCTACCTTATTCCCTCCACCAATCTCCGAATAATGAAATAACACCTTCAACGAGCCTTTTTGCTGCTGAGACTAGCGTTGTTGTGTGGTTAAATAATGCAAATGTCAATTAGTAAATTCATGATGTAAATATTGTTTTGCTTAGTCAACAAAAGAATGTTCATTAGGAGGTTCCAGAAACTTGTATAGTAATATAGTAGGCTCGACTATTATTCAAATCGCAAATCGGTTATAATGTGATAATTTCTCAAGTTTCCCATCAGCAAAACAATGATAGCGTATAGTTTCAAAAAGTAAGACTAAACTCGCCCATTATATTCATGTTCTTAGAATACTCTAAGTTGGTTTCAAGTTCAATTATGTGACTTAGGACAGAAATAGAGTTCAGTTGTTCTATACTACTTACTATAGAGCTTGCAGTTCAAAGAAAATCCATCTTCACCAAATGTTCTAGTGATTTATGATGTCAAAGAAAAATTTACCGTGTGGAAATGGCACCCGAATATTCGGTGGATGAAAAGGAGTGCCTCCGTGTCCTCTCCTAAAAACAATTATTTATCTCTGAAGACTAGAAACAGAATTCAATGCTCTTAGGACCATGTAAAAGCGTGCTTGCAATCCTAATCTTCAGCTTTTCACTGATAAGAATGAAAGTATCTATGAAGAGTTTTTGGTTGTATATGCAAAATGACTGCAACTCACCATGAAATTTCTCCCTTTGCAAGCATAGAAATCGCGCCATTTTGCACGAAAGGGTCAGTTGTTAGTTGGTAGTCGAGCAGCAGGTTTTGTTCACGAAGATTTTGCACAAAGTGAATCAATGTGAAATTTTTCAAAGCTTGCTGGCCAAGTTTGCTCTTCGGCTGAAAGCAAAATTATTCAAGATTGAAAAGGAAATACGAGCAGAATAAAGCAAAATGAAATAGCTCCCTCAAATTGTGAAATTGCAGAATCGTGCTAGAGTGCGGTCCAAATTTTGAGGAAATGAAATTGTCGGTCGACAAACTCAATTTTAGACGCACACCATTGCTTGGTTCTAATGGCAAAAAGAAGCTTCTACTTCTAGCTTCTTACTTCCATAAAGTTTGATTCCTTAAACTGATTAGTTCACTTGCTTTCCTTATACTGGCTTATCTAGACATGTTTACTTCTCCCTCAGTCTGGAGAGAATATATTTATGTTCAGCTTTTCCTATCTCACATCACTTGTCAGTCCTTCCAGCTGCCCCCTCCCTTTATGCTTTAGTCTATCTTTTCTGGAGAGAGTATCACAATATACAGAAACTATGATCTAAGCATTTGAAGCTCAATTCTACAGCTAAAAATAAAGAAAGCTAGAACTGAGCTGGTGTTACATCGATCTGTTTGATTTACCGCTATGTCAGTCCGTCAATCATTAACCGCTTCGCAGCACACA